AGATTTCTCTACCCTTTTATACACTTCAACAAGGAAAATCTTTACCCTTTCATATACCTGAAGCCTGAAAAAGGTCATACCCTTTTCGTACGGGACCATTAAAGGAATTGGAAGTATCCTCCAGGGCCATATCCAGGGGCAGTACTCTTGGGTGCTTCATGCCACAGAAACCGAGTTTAGCTCTGCTTTGGTTCTCTGCACCATTACCTACCTTACCTAGAAAAAAGCTATTTTTTAAAATCTCAATTCTCTTAAATAAACCAGATGTTATTTCAACTTTAATTTTTCCTTCCAAAAAGAAACAAAATGACTTACTATTCTTAAACGCAACTATTGTTGCTAATTTTCCTTTAGATCTATTTATTTATCAACTTATAAAAAGGGCGTTAAAAGACCACCTTAATTCTGACTAGCTACTAGTATAAAATCAAAATAATTTGAAATAAAAACTTGAGCACAACATATAGATGTTGATCATTACTAAAGTCAATTCTTAATCAACCAGGAGGGTCATGAGAATTAAAGATCAGGGTCGGCCAGGGTTTTTGGGTATACGGTATACAGGGGCTTTCTAAATCGGGTATACGGTATATTGCAGCTTAAATACGGGTATTCAGGTATATCACTTTCTTTGAATTTCAGGTATAAAGTATACCTGGGTATAATTTTTGGTATATTTGGATGAATTTTAGGTATTTTTGGGTATTTTGGTGAATTTTTTTCGGGTATACCGGTATAACACTATCCCCCTTGGCCGACCGGCCTGAAAGATAGGACCATCGATCCAGGATTACTTCTCAAAATATTTTTAAAGTCTTCAAATGGGATAGAAAGGAGAAATTATATATTTATATTTGCGATATAAAAGTTAAGAAAAAAAAGCACATGATGGGCGCGATCCATTCAACCAAAATTTCCAGGAATTTCTGTCCAAAACTCAATGGATCGGTTCGGTCCAGCCGGAAAAGTTTCGAAAAAACTGGTCCACCTTTTGAGGTGGACCACTTTTCCCGGTCGGACCGGTCTGAATTTTGATTGAATGGATCGCATCCGATGTCACCACAGGGTTTTATATTGATCCAGACCGTGAAAGAAATTTAAGTTTGGTTCTTCTGATACTAAGCCGAAAAACGACAAATCGATAATCTAACGAAAAGCAGTGGTGGTGGTCTGTTTACAATGTTTTACTCGAAATTTCAATAAATAATCAATAACTTATTACTGGGCTGCCTGTGCGGCCCAGTCATAAAATGGGCTTTTGGTCGTCTGCGGCGAAAAACGGCCTCCCGGGGGAGGGAAGACACGAGGGTCTGGTACCGAGAAACGATGTTCTCACAAATGGTTTCATATGATTTTCTCTTGCACGAACCCTTGCACGGATACTTTTTGTACCTCGTCCGCGCTCCCCGTGAAAAACCAACAAGGCGTTGCGAACCTGAAGAATGCTATTTGCGTTGTTCGAAGCGATTCGATCATGGGAGTCACTCTATAATTTTTTTATTGTTCGAGTTTAAGTCAGTTAGATGATATGATGTTGGCGCTGGGAAACTCAGAGAAATGCTCGCGTTGCATTCAAACCGACACGCCGTTCACGGTAGGTTCACACTAAAAGATGATTGTGAGCGTCAGGTTTGGAACGCCGTGGCCGCTTCGTGAACTCAAAGAGAGAATTATCGACCGATGTAGTACATGAGCAATTAAGAAGCACAATTTATGAGCAAGGTATTTCACCAGTTGACGACACTATGGCTGAAGACTTGATTGTAAGCCTTCGTAGTCAGTGAAGCGAACAACTCAGTTGCCGATGAATTGCACTACGCACGTCCATGAGCGAGGGACGTGACAACTTTGCCATGTTAGAAGACTGGCTTTTCCTTTAAATATTTCCTTCTATTTAATGCAACACACGCCACTTTGGAGGTCTGAATTTCGGATACTGAGGATAAAGAAGACACGGACAAAAATAGGGACTCTGAGAATTTCGCACACAAAAAGCTTCACCGGGACATCCCATCCGGGAGCTTCACAGAGAGCGACTTGAGGAAAATAGGAGCTACTGACAAGGTTTGACTGAGTAGAGCATACAAATGTAGCCCACGTCGAGGTTTCAGGGGGTTTGCTTTTGTTTGTATTTGTATCTTGCTAAGCTTTTATCATTAAATTTGTACATGATCTTGTGATCACAATTCTGTGTTTTCGCCCATTCAGCAAGCACGCTATATTGATGTCCGCATTAGCGAGTTTCAGAAACATGCCTTTGAAAGTTTTCAGCTCTCGTGATGTTTCTTGATATTTCTTTTACAATTTTATGGAGATGTAAACTGAAGTCTACGCAAAATGGAAACTTCAAAAAGCGTATAATCTATTTATCTCGAAACATAACACAAATGACTTATACGACCTTTATTTTCGTAAAGGTGTTTTGAATACGAACGAACACAGTCAATGTGAGGGGCAAAAACAGCATTAATATAAATGAACCATAGGGTTTTAACTAATATAAGGGTCAATTATTGTGCATTGAGATGAATCGCTTGAAAAGAGATACTTCGCTTGAAGATGTGATCAGAAGTAAACAAAGGCATAATAGCGCGTCACGTTCAGTCTTTTTAATATCCAAGGAGTCATTGTGAATAGTGTTTCCATATTGTTTAGCTGGCACAAAAACTTCGGACGAGTTATAAAGCGGCATAGTTATCTTCCATGAAGAAAAGTTCGTCTTGGGTGAGACAAACAGAACTGGAGCGAATTTTTAACTCGCATCGGTATCAGGTAAAAAATATGTTATCGATCGTTTCATCTATTTACATTGTTTGAAGTGCGTGCTAGTGAACGCAACATGCGAGCGAGAAATCTTTAAACCTTTTTTAGGTCTCAAAATGCAAAGGATTTTATTCCTTTAAGTTAGCGAAAAATAGCATGAGGAAAATCTTAAAAATGAATATATTTCTTCTTGTGGAAAAAATAGTGCGTTTTCTTGTAGACTGTGGACCGCAAATTAGGATCGCACTTTTCACAAACATGCGAATTCTGAAGTTCAGAAGCCAACCGACGATTGCGTTTTTCGCTGCTGTCAATCATCGTAACGGACCTCTTAGGAAACAAAACTTTACTTCACGGGTTCAAAAGGTCATGGTTTGTGATTTGTGGATTTCGATCCGTTTTGTGTGTTTCTCTGTTTCAAGGTTCGTTGCTTGTGATCGTAATTATGATTGACGGCAGCGATAAACACAATTGTGAAGGTGGCTTTTGAACTTTAGAGTTCGCATGTTTGTGAAAAGCGCAGTAAAGTCTCCGTGCAGTCAGTGAGGCCCCTGGATCAGGCGGGATCAATGGGCAGTTAACTGTCTGTTTTAGTATACTTCTGGTTTTCATACAATACAATATTTCTGTCTAGTGTAAATCAGCTCAGTCTGTCGCATTTTATGCTCGTAGAAGGACAACAATTTTTGGAATTTCCGGTTACGTCAAATTAGTCACGTTATACTGTCACGCTATATTTTGGGGCACAGAGGGATTGGGGGAGGGGTGCGTGGAAATAATGCAAATTGTTTCCTGTTTAGAATTAATGGCTAACTTGTTTATTTTTATTCATAATGGTGGAATTTAAAAGTTATTATACAGCCCCCACTTAAAAATGGTACTCTTTTTTTTTGGTTACGAAAGTCTTTCAAAAGGGTACAATGTTCTGAATGAGTTTATGTTTCAGTCTCACATGAGGTTCTGTCGCATGCAATGGTTGCCGACAAGGTTTTATGGTAGCCTGAGTGTGTATAGCCGCCCCTTCCCTTCAGAAAAAAATAGCCCCTTGGCAGCCCAGTTAAAAATCGCCTTTCGGCGATTCTTGTTTAATTATATTCTGATGTGCTTTTGGTTTCATAGCGAATAAAACAGCATTACAGCTAGATCTTCACTAACTTTCGCTAGGGACCATACAGAGAGCGACAAGAAGCGGCTGTATTCGCAGGCAATTCAGTAACTAGTCACAAAGGCTCGATTAATTTTGCTGAAACTATTCAGCTTTTTTCACGACTTAACATGGCGGTTCCGTAAATCCCGCCTAGCATCATCATTAGAGAGCTTTAGATTCTGAGACGAGGACGACTACGAGTACGAGACTTCTCGATACTGAGTACTGCTCACGAGTGAACCAGCGTCATTTTGGCGGGAAAACGAGATAGTCGTCGTCAACCTACTACGAGTTTTAGCGAGAATGTCGTAGTGGCGGGAACAAGTTATCAAATGTAAGAAGATTTATCATTCTGTATCGTTAGAGGGCTGAACCTCCTTCAGTATAAACAACCGTACTAAATTTTTAGGTGAAAAAAAGTAAAATGAAGCTTTCCGGAGTATCTTTTTTTTTTTGAGGAACACGCGCAAAAACTTGCGTTAAATCTCGTACTCGTACACTTTCTCGTCCTCAAATCTAAAGCTCTCTATTTCCAGTCCTCGTGCGACAAAGGCTTGTTGACGTCATAATCGTGAAAAAAAAAAAAACCCAGCAAAGTCCCTATAACTCGTCTTGACTGCAGAATGTACTTAAACCAAGTTAGTTTTTGTCAATAAAGAGATGACAAGTCGCAACAATTTCAAAAGCACTGCAGCTATCAATGAAAATCGTTTATGCTACATCGCTGTCAGAGCGGCTCACAGTGCTGCTCTTTACAAGCCGAATCGTCATCGGTCACCGTTTGGCATGATTCATAGTCGTTACTGAGTTCGTAAATTAACTTTTAACTGTAACCCATGCGCAGTAGGTCACCATCCAAGCTAACTTGTGTGCGATCTTTTCTGTCTTCGTTCGCATTTTGGACACACTCCAGATTTGAAACATATTCTGCGAAAGACAAAAATATCAAATAAATATCGGAGGATTTGTATCTCGCATAATACAGGATATTTACNTGCGAAAGACAAAAATATCAAATAAATATCGGAGGATTTGTATCTCGCATAATACAGGATATTTACGGCCAGCCATCTTTAACAAAAAAATTTACTTACTTGTGGAACACGGTCCTGCATTCCTTACACTGTGCTGCGTGTGGATCAAACGCAAAAATGATTTCATCTTTGCCGCAAAATTCGCAGACAAAACCCTTTGCTTGACAAAGCTATTAAAGTAAATCAATTAATCAGTCAATAAATAAATATATCGATCAATCAATCAACCAGTCAATCAATCGATAAAACGAGAAGGCCCACGGATCACGCTACGATCAAGAAAGCTCTACAGTAAAAAGTTTAATCTAAGAACCATCAATACCCTGTTGAGTGCGATTTTCCGGTAGTTCTAATAGTTGTAATAGTGGTCCTAAGATTACTTGTTGAGCTGAAGTGATCTTTAAAGTCACTGACACTGAATGCTAGACACACAGTTGATAGTATGAAAGTCCTGACGATAGTTTTCATTGGTCATGTCAGGTATAAAGCACGGCGATATTGGCTAAGGTTTGTAAGCAGCTACTTACGGCAGGGAACAACTACCGTAAATTATCTCTCTCAAATAAAGCCTCTCCTCAATTAAACGCCCTCTCTTACAATTTTAAGTTTTGTAGAAGACGCTCCTCTAAAATAAACGCCCCCGGTCTAACAGAAGCCCCCCTTGAATACTTCTCCAAAATACTACGAAATAGAGCAAAATCACTCATTACAATTTATTCAGCTTTTTGCCTGATTGATAAGAGTTTCTGCATTGCCTCTAGTTCAACGTCGGGTTCAAAGTCTGGATCCTGACAACGGCCTAGACACCTAGGTGGATGGACTGAATAGTTGGCTGTTTATATACTGTGGTGATATAACAATTTTCCCCAAAACATATACGTTTTGTTGAGCCTGTTACGTTTATCAGAATAAACGCCTCTTATCGATTACGCTCCTTAAATTAACGAGACGCCCAGAACGTCTGCTAGATAATTTACGGTATTTGACAACTTGACTGACAACAAACTAATCACAACTGCATCATTTCAAGGAGCTCCTAACAATTAGATTTTATCGTGCATATTAAATAGTAACATAAACCTAAACTCTACGAGAACTTCTGCTCAGAAGTTGTCGAAAAACCAAAAGTCAATCACTGTCAGCGTGGAGAGCAGACCGCCTCCAGACCGCACTACCAACTACCACTAGCTTACGCCATTTAAGAAAAACATCATTTTTGTTCTTACCTGACAGTCAGACTTGATGTGTGTGAGGAAGAGAGAGTGAATTTTCGTAAGGAAAGGTAAAAGCGAGCCTGAGTTTACATCAATAAGATCTTGAAGAGAGTACATACTGGAGCTGTCCACAAAGTGTTGTCTATCCTTTAACTAGGAAGACAAATAAGACTACGTTAATTGTGATAGAAAGCATTAACGCCGACAATGATTACAAAAATGATAATGATGATACGATGACGATGACGATGATCGTGGTGGTGGTAGTGGTGATGATGATGATGATGATGATGATAGGAACATTGTTTACGTTAGTAATGCTGTTAGCAATCACCCATCCTAATGAGCCCTACATGTCGATTCAGAAAAGTGAATTTGGTTCATTTTCTCCAGGACTAAACTTTTCAAAGCATAATATTGCCAACGCAATGTGACGCACTTAGGGCGCTTTCCATTTGTCAGAACTGGTCGGCCGAACCAATGCCGGACCAGTCCGTTAGCAAATGAAACTGATCGGCTTTTTTCCAAGAGTTTTCCTGAAAAACCATCTCCTTCGTGTATACTATTTAGGATTTGACTGATCTGGCTGAATAGTTTTGATTAAAAGTGAAATTCTCGCTTCGACAGGAATGGTCTGGCCGGTCAGTTCTTACAAATGGAAAGCACCCTTAGTAACATCGCGCGCGATTTAAATTCAATGGCGATTTCAAAATATGTAACACTGAAGATGACGGATGTACCGTCGAAACATGTCCGGGAAATTAAAGAAAGTTGTTATGTTTGTTACTGCCAAATATTTTCTGGTTTTTCGTATTTCCTTTCGAACCCTTTTAGTTTCGTTTGCGTTATTATCTTATAGTATTTGTGGTTTTTGCCGCGGACATACCTGCTTACGTATGAGTTACAAACAAAGAAATCTATTATCCTTTGTATTAGTTAGCATTGTCGAACGTGCTCAAGAAACTTTTTCAGTTCTAGTCAACGTGTCATCGTGTTAAGATCAAAGTAAGGCTGAACGTCAACGCTGTGAAATCCCTAAAGCGGACACAGAAGTAAGTCTTTTCACTTTGTGCATGATATGTTACGTTTTATAAAGCCTTTTTGCATCGTATTAATGAAATTCAAAGTTTGTTTTCGTAGTTTTAAGGTAGTTTCTAGTTAATCTAACTATAGTTTTCGCTGTATTTATTTCTTAGTTTTCGAAACCGCTTTGTACATCGTTTTCTTCGTTTACACCGCCTGACCATCGCTTCGCTTCGCATCGCTTCTTTTCAACATTGTTAACGTCTCATCGCTTCGCTTCAATAAACTCTGTTTACATCCTTATCGTCGTGAGCATCATTATTGTAGCGAAAGTTCTTAAAGAGCGTCGAGAATTTTCTGTCTTAACGTGGGATTAAACGATCGCCCTGTGAGTAACGTTTCGCGCTCACAATGTTTATGCGGCTTTCTATATTGTTGCTGCTAAATAGTCCTTTTGGACTAAAGATTTATTGAAAAAGGCTCAAGGCTTATTAAAAATGTAAGGTAACCAGCCTGATAAATTACTTTGTCTGTCGCTTTCTACAAAACCAAACTAAATTACTCTGAGAGCAGTTTTCTAAGGTATTTATCTTTTCTCTGTAGTTTTGCCTCTCGGTGCGTGAAAGTTATTGCCAAATACCCCCAACAATAACAGAACCAACAACAAAAGCACTTCCATGACGCATACATACCTGTAATAACAACTTGCTTTCTAAGGCCTCGCGGCAAGTAACGAAGTATTTTTTCATGATAAGAATCTCTTCTCTAAGACGCTGTAGACAACAAAAAACAGGTTAAGATTCTTTTTCCTTATTTTAGATGCAGCTCGGAAAATTCCTATCAAATGAAGGAGGATTTGGTCTGTTTGCATTAACAGTAATAACTCTAGCAATCTTTGATTGCAAGCATGAGTAGGGATACCGGGGTCTGAAGCCTCCAAGTAACATCCGTTAGCCAGACCATTTGTTAGTGAGATCTAGTAAGTAGACACTGGTGATCAATCCTTTGGTTATTGTTCCTAGTACCCTTGTAACATAAGAGAGTTTTAGCAACGAGGACGGCGCTGGCTACGAAGATGCCAAAAAAGCACCCTCGCATTACACATTTTGGTACATTTTTTGCCGTCATTGTACGACTACGACTTGAAATTATCTAGTGTGACGGGTTACGGAGGAGTTATAAACGTGACAAGGAATTGGTTTTTCTCTCTCTAAACTCGAGTGTACTTCCGTGAGTGAATTCACCTCAAGAAATTTAGAATTTGACATATTATGCAGGTTGTAACAATCGCGACGAAGTTTGAAAGAGCCCAGATTCATTTTACTAGTGACGTTTTTGCTGCCGACACTGTCGTCGTTGCAAAAAACTTGTCCTTGTCACCGGTATGGTATAGGAACCAAAGCCAATATTTACCTTTATTTCTCTAAGCTCCACGACGAATTTGAACAAAGATGGGTTGAGCCTTTCAATCTTGAGGAGTGGTCTTCCAGTCATGAGAGCTAGTAACTGTTTAGACTGTCTCGACACCTGAGTCGTACAAAAATACAGAAAGTTTTACTGCTAATTGTTTGTGGTAAAAGAGGAAGAAATTTGTGAACTCTGATGACACGAGCCCTTTTATAACGAACACCCCTCCACAAAGGACTTCAGTGTGTTTCTTACAACAAACGTTTTCGTTACACCTTATCACCTGAAGAAGATTAACACCTGAAAAGTGTAACTCCCCTGTCAGGGCTTTTCAGTAACTATTTGCCCCATCAGTGAACTAATGATATGACCTTGAACGAAGTCTCTAACTAAAATGTACAAACTTGAGCCCGGTTCAAAGGTCGTATTTCATCACATGCGCCGAGTCAGATGTGGACTCCTTCGTAGCCGTTATTAGGGTCGTCACGCAACACTCCTTCCAACTAAAGAGCGTTGCGTGACGACCCTAACAACTGCTGCGAAGGCTAAATCTAAGGAAAATGAGCAAGAACAAAAGATTTTTCATATTAGCATTAAATTTGGACGGTATATGTGAAATGTGACGTTTGAACCGGGCCAAACAAATACAAATACCAGAAACCATTCGGTTTAAGCCGAGAATATACAGCAGAGCGAGTGAATGGTCCTTCATAGATTTTTTGAAAGCTTCAAACGAGAAACATTGTGTTAAATTAAAATTGTGATCCAAATTGTTAAAAATGTTAACCACTCACTGTCCAGTAGCCCATAAATACAGTGGTATAATAATTAAATGACGGTAATCAGTACCTTATAAAGGCTGAAGTCCCAGTTGTGAACGACTCTGGCAGGAATCACGACAAGATCGTTCCAATGGCATTCCTCGCAGTAATACTGACCACTATAATCACAGCGCCGAGCTTCAGAGCGTTCACCTCCTGCAAAAGATAAAAAAAACCCTGCATTATTAGACCTTTCAGTGAGGAAAGCAACACAGGCGTTTACAGACAGGAAGGGAGAGGTGTACTAGATTTTGCTTCCTTATTTGACGTCGGTAGCTCGAAATAGTTACCGTCTGACTGACAAACCTAGGGTCCACGGTGCGCTCACTTCTTCCCCACCCCTCCCGCCCTCCTCTCCATTACTGGTCCGTTTTACGGGGAATTTAAAGCTACTTAAAGCTACACGGAAGTAGAAAGGTCACACTACGAATAATACACGTTGTTAAAAGTGTTGATTTTAGCTCACACCTTACATCTCTGAAATAAGGTCGCACACTTAACAGCCATGCCAATCCTTGCACTAAATCACAAGGAAGGCAGGGGGGGCGGGGTGCGGAGAAGACAGGCACGCCCGAATGATCCTACTTCCTTCTCTCTCTGCGCCGGGGGGGGATTAAGTACACTCATGTAGAGTCTTGGTCTGGGTCATAGGGTTTGGGGACACTTAACTTTTCTCTCGTCTATTTGGTACTGAATTTACAAGTAACCGACACTACCCTCATAAGTGGCCTTACCAAAATTTATTCCTCAACCCCCTTTAACACTTTAACAATATTTAAGTCCATATCCTGGGATGGATGAGAGTGCTAAACTTCTGACACCCAACACTATCCAGGGCGAAGAAGGCAGAGTAGTAAATTGAATGACAATTTCCGCATGAGCAATAAGACCACATTTTGCATCTCACTTCCCCTATGACGCAACACCACGGTTTCTTAAGAAACTCACCCCCCCCCCTCCCGTTTATCCAGTTATTTGTTCATACTCACTTGTCAGTCCTATCTGCTTCCTACACTCAGCGCATTTATACTGCTGTGACGATAATCCTGTTTCTGGACAAATACTCAAATTGTACGTGGTGACTGACACCTGCCAATAAACGAGGAAAGCACCATGAGAGACAATACACCTTTAATATTATTCATTTGAAACCTCGGTCCATTTCTAACTTGCGCAAATTCCCCCGCTGATTCTTTACAACCAGCTAGCATTGACCAAATTTAGAAGACGTTCGCGATATCGGATAAAATAACGTTAATAGTTAAGGATAAAAGCCAGAAGAAGGGACGACAACAGAGAAGCCCTGAGGCGTTGTTTTGGCAGGGCTGGAGAAAAAAGCGGAAAATTCACACGTAACAAAACAATTGTTGGATTCGGCTTTCGAATGATCTGAAGAACTTAAGCAGATATCGGATGGTGCTATCCACCCCGGCTGTTAACACCACCACATTTTTGCAAGGACTTAAGAATAAAAACGGCTTTGCAGTGCCTAATAATCTAATAGAACTACGTTAAAATGCCCCTAACAATAGCCATAAGTCTCATTAACTGCCAACTCAGGTATAATGTTGAAATTTCCAAAGCCAATTTTGCCCTTACCTTTCTACTAGCACAGGGCCGACGAATCAGCTCCAAACAGCGCCTATGACTGCGGTAACTACAAGCTATTAACAGAAAGGAATCGTGATTCAATATCGAATTTTGAAAGATTTCTTTTTTGTCGGACTGAAACAACTATTTTGCAAAATAGAAAAGGAATCTGGGCCGAGTTAACTTCGCAAAGAGTTCTGGGACTGTTACTTGGGACAAGGAAAAAATTACCAATAGCAACCTCGTCCCCAGGGCGCTTTTCCCTGGCTTTGGAGGTGGGGCGGGAAAAGCACCCTGGGGACGAGGTTGTACCAATAGCTGACCGGCGCGTCCCAAGTAACTATCCCAGAAACAATTGTAAGGCGCATTTCGGCTCCATTTCCCTTTTTGTTTCTAAAGTGACGAATTATGGACTAGTCAGTACCGTTGCATGTAAATAGCGATTGCCACATCCAAATTGTTTTTCCGCATTTATCGCAGCTCAACTTCTTCCCTCGTTCCTCTTCCTTTGTAAACGTATGTCCGAGTACTTTTCGTGCCTTTGAGTCACCCTCTGATTTCGAATCCTGGAAAAAAAAAAAAAAAAAAAAGCAGAGGGGGAGAGGAGATATAAAATAGCACAAAAAAAGCGCATACACACGCAAAAGACCCGCGCGGGTCACAGCCCCGCTTTNTGACCGGCGCGTCCCAAGTAACTATCCCAGAAACAATTGTAAGGCGCATTTCGGCTCCATTTCCCTTTTTGTTTCTAAAGTGACGAATTATGGACTAGTCAGTACCGTTGCATGTAAATAGCGATTGCCACATCCAAATTGTTTTTCCGCATTTATCGCAGCTCAACTTCTTCCCTCGTTCCTCTTCCTTTGTAAACGTATGTCCGAGTACTTTTCGTGCCTTTGAGTCACCCTCTGATTTCGAATCCTGGAAAAAAAAAAAAAAAACAGGTACAGAGGGAGAGGTGATATTGAATCGTTCAGCAAATGAGCAACTACACGCTTAAGAGCCGTGCGAGTAACAACTTAACGATTGCAAATCCAGAAGTCCTTCAGCGGGGTAAAGCCTACGCACACGATGTCGTTCCGCACTTGGGTTGTCTTCCAATGCAATATCCTATAGCTCGACTAGGTAAACATGGTTACCTAGTCTGCGAGGCAGGTATTCGAAAGAGAGAGGAAGGCGAGAATTCGGATGCGCGAGGGAGGAGTGCCCCTCTCTCTTTTCGTATAAAAGTCTGCCTCGCAAGCAAATAAACACCCAAAAGGCTTTGCGCACAGCTCACTCTCCGTACTCGGAATCAACCTCGGTGGTTTCCTTTTGAAATTTCTTTTGAATGAATTTTATGAACACAACGAGATTTTACTTTCAGCTTCAATCTGGCTGGCTTTCCTCTACCAGTAGGGGTTACTAATCCTGTTTTATTTGGCTTATTTTTTAAATTTTTTTGCCTATAGTTTTTAACCCTTGCTTACTTATACCTTTTTAGTTGTTTTTAGACTCATCTGGTGCAGGTTCCTCGCAAAAAGCCACAATTGAGCCCTTAAATAAGTGCTTCAGTTAGAATACCGAACACGAACACTTAATTCGTGCCCAGGGCTCTCTCTCAGGGTAGGGTCGAGATTGCTGTGATGCAAAAATGCTTTTAGAGCAAGAGAATTTCTTTTCGCATTCCACTGCAAATATTGTCCTCTTGACCCACCCCCATCAAATACTCAAAGAACCTTATATGATAAAAACTGAATAAACAAAACACAGCAAAAATGCCCTTTTTGTAGAGCCGTGCTCTCTAAGAGGATACAGAACCCTAAAAGGACAAAAATAGTTTCCTATCAAGTATGGCAGTATTTTTACACAGGGCTAGATTCACTTTATTCCATTTTAAGACTAGCTAGACACCCTTAATAGCGCTTCACCATTAGATCGCGAGAAAAGTATATCATACATCGACAAACCTGAGTTTCCTGAAGTTTGAGCCTGAGCTGAACCAATTTGGTGATGAGTTTCCGTTTCTCCTCCGAGTCATCGGAAGTGGTGTTGATGAGGTCTTTACAGGCACTTATCGCGTGGCGCAGTTCTTCTGTAGTAGACACGCCCATAAAGGACTTAAAAAAACGATACATATCGATGTATGAGACATTACTAAAGATACATTATAGTATCACAATTCGTAACTAGAATGATATAGAAAATGGAATTGAAAAAAAAAAGGGATTTGCCATGGTAAATTATGCAAAAAAGGTAAGGTGGCGTAACGATTTGTCCAAACACAGAAGTTTCAATTTTTCGACTGCGACACTGAGGAATATAAGGGATATAAAAGCCTGCACATAACACATGACGTTTAAATGATATGTGAAAATTCACTCTCTGCCCAAATCTGTGTGGGAAATTATTTACACAAAGTGAGCTTAGTGAACTCATTCTTCTTTCAGCAATATAACTAGTGTGTGAATACTCCTAAATTTCCTAATCCATCTCAATGCAATGACAGCTTAGAAGATACGTAAGCTACCGGCTCACTGACTTACGAGCTTTTTACTCGGCAAAAAAGCTTTATAAACGATATGCATGTACATGTGTATTGGCGGTTCGGTGACTTAACTACAAAATTAGCACGTTAACCCTGAGTTTTCTTCTTTAATATATAGCAAGACATCACGGTGCAGGCTCGATTTCCGCCGCTCTCTGGTCGGCCCCAAGAAGAGAGGGGAGGAGCGCGGGCTCATTTCCTGAACAGCGGCTGGTAATCGGGATTAACCACAGAGCTCTTTTATACAGTAGACTCCCAATAGAGAGAAGACACCAAAACCAAGGACGACGGCGACGGCAAGGAGATCGGCAGAAATGATATGTTTATATTAACAAACAATAACTTTGCACGTGCATCACGCTTTTTGTACATTTCTTTGCCGTCGTTGCACCACTACGACATGAAACTTCCTAATCTCACGAGCCCGCTTTATGGAGTAGGTGAACTCAACACAAAAATTGTGGCTTTCGTTTCCTAAACTTAGATAACAACAGATACGATCCCAAAGAAAATTTCGCCAAGATTTGCCAAATTAAATGAAACTGAATAAGATTGGTGAAGTTTATAATAGTGCGAATAGACTTTTAAGTGACTTTTTCGGTTTGCTGTCATTCAAAAATTTTGCTACCATGGAAACGTAACGTAACGACTTCTCCTTCCTATAACTCGAACCTTGTCAGTACACTCCCTTAAAGGGTAGCAAGAAAAAAAGGTTGATATTTTAAAAAAGTAAATAAGCAACAAAGCTTGATTGATATAGAGCCTTGGACACTGAATTTGAACTGGAGTGACAAAAAAGTACAGACAAAGCATTGACACGATGGTTTTGAAATAAATTCACCATTTCGGACTTCAGTATACCGATTTCTCTCTGACTTGTCACGCTTAAAACATGGTTCGGGTTATCGGGGGTAACCTTATAGAGAAATAATTTGAAGGGAAACAAAAATTACTTCGAGTTAGCGGGAGGTTCGAGTCACTGAGGGTTCGAGTTACCGAGGGTAAAATTACTTTAAATGTATGAAGGAAATCCAGGGCGGGAAATCGACTATGGTTCAAGTTAGCGCGAGGTTCGAGTAATCAGGAGACAGCTGTATATATAATATTTTACAGGCTCACCTCTGGTGGAGAGAAATGATCCTCTTCTAATCCAATCAGCTCATCGAACATCTCAAATTCACTAAACTGACTCTCGCTACCAGGAGAGCCAATCGACAAATCTGCCTTGGAGCTCTTGCGACTGGAGAAACTATTTCTTCCCGGCCACGAACCAGGAGTAGAGCTAATCGTAAAGGTTCTGTTAATTGAATCCAAAGTATTGTTCCTGCTACTTCTCTGCGAGCCCGACCCGTTAAAACTCCCCGAACTCTCGCTTCGTGAACGCGTATCATAGCTTTTGTGAATCCCAGGTACAATGTTTAAGTCTTCGCCTTCGTAACTAGCATTAAATTCAGCAGACATGCCGCGCTCTCTTTCAATTTGCCAAATACTATCGACTTTCTTTGGTGTGCCACATTCGAAAGTAGCCAGTGCAGCATAATATTCCGGCGTTTCGGGTTCCTTAGCTATAACTGTATCTGTGTCCTTTGGAGAAGTACTTACAGTCTCAACTTCTCCCTCGTCTTCAAAGGGATTTTGCGATGAAGACTGATTATCCATTTCTGGTGAGGTAATAATTGACGTTCTCTCATCAATGTGACCCTGTCTCTCAGAATGTTCATTAGAGGAATGATTCCCGTCAATCACTTCCTCAGGTTTTAAAGCAAGCTCTTCTTTAATCAAATCACTCTCGTCTTTACTTCCTTCGTCAACACTTTTATTGCCATCTATTATTTTCTCTTCACAAGGGGCATTATTCAAAGAAACTTCCTCTTTATCAGACCCATTGACAAGTGGGAAAGTCTCGTTCGAGCCAGCAAGGAAACTAGTTTGTTCAAATTTATCCGTTGAAGACTGATGCAGAACTGTTTCAGCAACTGGTAAGTCCATTGTTAAAGAAATCTCAGAAGTATTATCTCCTGCAAGATCCATATCACCAGATGAATCATTCACAGGTTTTCTCTCTTCCGAATTTTGGTCGTCATCCACAATTACACCAGAGATCATTTCACTGTGATTACTAGAACTGCCTGAGTCCAATCCTCTATGAATATCAATTGCTTTGTTAATAAAATCCGATTCTTCAAAATCTTCACTCTCGGCAATCATTGCCACTTCTGCCTTTTTTCTCTTCTTCTTTTTCTTTCCTGTTCCTTCAGTTGCGACGTTTCTTGCTTCCTTGATTGACAAATGCACAGAATGTTCGTGTCCATTCCAGCTGCTAGAAGGTGATCCATAACCATTTACCAGGCTGGATCTTACAGGAAGATGAGTGATTCCAGCACCTGAAAACCGACAAGACACGCTGGAGTTCAAAATATTTATAAGACACAATCGGCGACAAAATTAGTTGATACACGTTGCCCTGAGAGAGAAAGAGAAAGCGTTCAGAGCGTTTTACTGACTTCAAAAAGGGAAACAAAGCTTTTCCTCCCCCACCGTCCTTGAAATATTGGCTGCGGTCACATCTACGACGCAACTAAAGTTAGTGTCAAGTTACGTGACGTCATACCTAACTGTAGTTAGTGCTTTCGGTCGACATTGCGGTCACACCACGCAGTTAACAACACTTAGTTCTAATTAGCCTACGTAAATTTTTTGTTTGTTGTTTTTGGCTTCCCCCTCGCTTCACGCTTGGTTTTTACTTTGCATATTTATATATGCTCATCTCGCACGTGCGAAAAGAAGTGTCACATTCTGATTGGTTGTTTGTTTGTAAACTTAAGAACCCACGAACCCTGCTTGAGTATAACTATAGTTAGTCTGTATTGTTTTGGATCGCCGAGGCATAAATTTTCTAACTATAGTTAGAGCAAACAGAGAAGCGGTCACATACTGAAATAGCTAACTATAGTTACCCTCGTCTTAGCTATAGTTAGTAGGGAGTTTTAGCATCGACGACGGCAACGGCAGCGAAAACGTCAGTTTTAAAATGAATTCCCGTTTTTTCACCCTTTGCCGCGTTTATTCCAATTTGCTGAAAATGGCAAGTGTAGGCGAATTTCCCTGGAGTTGATTTCTTGAGGACCGCACTCAAGTTTAGAGAGAAAAAAAGAGATTCGTCGTCGCTTGTTTACGTCCTCCATAAAACTTGCAATTAGGCATTTTTACGTCGTAGTCGTGCAAGGACGGTAAAGAAATGTACAAAAAAAGCGTGATGCACGTGCAAAATTGTTGTTTTGCGTGATAAACCTATTGCTTTTTTGACGTCCTCGTTGCCGTCGCCGTCGTCGTTGCTTAAGCTCCCTAGTAGCCCAGATGTGACTGCAGCCGTTGTGCCGCTGTTCGAGCTACCCGTAGGAAACAACAAACACCCCAACGTTGAATGGAGGGGAGGGGGAGGGGTGTGGATTGTTTTGTTCTCTTATGTTACCTCATTTCACGACACTATCTCAACAAATTTGACGGCTAGCACGGCGGATTTTTTTTTCCGGATTCATAAATGTGTGCGAATTTATTACGTTTACGGTAATCCGATCCACAAACGTTTACACAGATCAATTAATTCGAGAAAATTTATTTGTGGAAATAAAGTATTCACTTCAGATTCCCGATGTAAAATGTCTGGACACACAAGACATAGTGTAGTAGCCAACAAGTACGCAGCATTTAGTTCATCTTGTCTGTTCACAGAATCAGCCATAAAATAGAATCATATTCAGAAAAATCATACTTCAAATTGACTTAGTTTTCAAAAGAGTCATCACAGGCGGCCCAGACGTAGTATGTGTCACTGAATGAATATATTAATATCCACATGGACAAATTAATGCGATGAGTCGTCGAAACTCCCATGGACTAAAATAGTGTAAAAGTCAAAATATAACAAAACAAAGCTAAGATACCTTCAACTGAACGTATCCTTGTCTTTCCTGGCCGGTTTAAGTGGCATTTTGTTGAGTTTTGAAATTGTGGGTACTATCCACTAAAGAAGAATTAAAGGCTGGCTACAAAACAAACAGACCATCTCCACGCGCCTTCACACGAAGCGCTATAAATTCGAGAATAATCGACGAATCAGCTCCAAATAACCATCGGCTAATCTGCAGGTAACGTGTGCTCCTGCTTCTGGCTCGCTTGCTCCACAAAACCCATCGCAACTGCACAATAATTGCTCGCTCATCAACAACCACTGTTGACCTTTACGCTTCGATATGACCGCAAACGACCAGGTTTAATACGCGACGTGAATATTCAAGCTTAGCGACCGCGTTCGCGCAACAATGCAGCACTTGCTATGGGAGGGATGGTACTATTGCTTCCAGGTCAATCAATCGGGAAAATAATATTGAAGCCCTTGTAATTTTTAAAAAGATCCAATTTGCCCAAGGAGCACCGAACAGATACGAATCTTATAGCGGAGCTAAAAAAAATGAGCGGCAGTGGAAAAAGTGAACAAGAACATGTACCACATTTTCTCCATAAAAAGTGAAAACCAGGAAGTTTTCTGGACGTTTCACGTTGCAGTCATGCAAATCAACGGCAAGGAAATGTACAAGAAAGTGTGCTGCAATTAGACCTATTGTTGTTTTTCACAGTTCTGGTCAAGGGCATCCAACTTTTAATTTTTCACATTTCACTCACCGGGTTAGGCTATTTTTCTTAGAGAGTAAAATGGAATCCTAAAATTTTCGGATTCAAAAATGTGATGAAAGAAGGTATCTGAAAAATTATCTCCTTCGTAATACGTTAAATTGCATCTAAAATTTTCGGGAAAATAATTCTGAATTCCTCGTAATTTCGAAAAGACTCAAGTTCCTCTAGAATGGCCGAACACTGAGATGCAAATTTTATAGCGCCACTTAGAATGCATTTCTATAGAGCTAAAAGTACTTTATGAATAGCTACAGAAGTGTTTTCAATTGAAAGTATTTGAGGAAACAGTCGTTGGGTGGCCCTGTCTCGTTGCCTTCTCCGCTTAGCATTACACGATATATTTTATATTTAGTATGAGCAAACTATAAATCATTAGCTTCGCTTTTAGCCCTCCTGACTAAATTTATGTAAGCGCTGTTTAGAATACATTTTTCGATCAAAAGTACTCTGGACAGCCTTAAATGTGTTTTCAATGCATTTAGGGGGAAATCATCGTTGGGTGCCCCTGAGTTTTGAGAATAATAATAATAATAAAAAAAGATATCGCGCACATAAATTTTACCTTACGATATCTTCAGCTGTATCTTCTATTCAGCTGCATAGCGGGGGCCAGATTTTGCCTTTTTCCTGGGCGGAAAATTCTCGTCCTCCTTCACCAGTTTGGACAACATATTATGGAGTAAGACGTTGTTAATCTAAGCAAATAAGTCTGGTAGAGTCAAGAACCTATGCAAGCGGCTGGACGAACAATGTGACAGCAGCTGAGACAGCGAACGTTAGAAGAATTCGAACATGAAAACCAGGGCTGCCCTGTTGAAAACTTACGGACGGTCCCGCGATCGCCTTTTGTTTTCTGGTCAAAACTAACGCAGCGAACCTTCGGTCAGTCGATTGACCTGGAAGCAATAGTACCATCCCTCCCATAGCAAGTGCTGCATTGTTGCGCGAACGCGGTCGCTAAGCTTGAATATTCACGTCGCGTATTAAACCTGGTCGTTTGCGGTCATATCGAAGCGTAAAGGTCAACAGTGGTTGTTGATGAGCGAGCAATTATTGTGCAGTTGTGATGGGTTTTGTGGAGCAAGCGAGCCAGAAGCAGGAGCACACGTTACCTGCAGATTAGCCGATGGTTATTTGGAGCGGATTCGTCGATTATTCTCGAATTTATAGCGCTTCGTGTGAAGGCGCGTGGAGATGGTCTGTTTGTTTTGTAGCCAGCCTTTAATTCTTCTTTAGTGGATAGTACCTACAATTTCAAAACTCAACAAAATGCCACTTAAACCGGCCAGGAAAGACAAGGATACGTTCAGTTGAAGGTATCTTAGCTTTGTTTTGTTATATTTTGACTTTAACACTATTTTAGTCCATGGGAGTTTCGACGACTCATCGCATTAATTTGTCCATGTGGATATTAATATATTCATTCAGTGACACATACTACGTCTAGGCCGCCTGTGGAGTCATTGTCTCTGAGAATGAGTACTTCATATACATTGCAAGAATGCACCCTAAACTATCACCAGACTCCGACTAACCATGCTCGAATTCAACACTGTCTGTTGCCATGGAAACTTACCTAAGCTAGCAATAATTGGAGCTGCTGCTTTAATGTCTAGAGATCTCCTAGAACTGCTTGTCAGAGAACTGGGAAATATTTAATATGTGGAAAAAAATATTAAATCTTACTTGGCATAGTAACAAACAGTTTAAATATTATTATCGCATAGTACTGTGTAATCATGGCTGTCAAGTGAGTCAAATCCTCTTGGTAATAATACAAAGCTTATTGACCTGGCTAAGGCAATAATTTTTTTACAGCTGATATGCTCTATGCTATTAAAGGTTATCATTTATTTTTCTTTTCTTTCATTAGAATCACTAATTCTTGGCAAGGTCACTGCTACAGCATGAAGGTTGTTGGAGATTTGGACCCATGTTGGTCCCCTCATCCCATTAACCCTTTAAGCCCCAATATCCACATACAAATTCTCCAAACTGATTTAGTGATTAGTGGTTAGGAAACTGAGTGAATCAAGTTCAGATCAGTTTTCCAAGTATGATGACCCTAAATAGAACTTGATTCACACAGTTTCCTGACCCTTATCACTAAACTTCAGTGGTGTAGTCCTTTTTGGGGTAGTCCAGGCCCGGGTTGCTCGAAGCATGGTTAGTGCTAACCAGCGTTAAATACCATGGAAACCTATACATTTTGATACCTCTTAACCAACAGTTAGCGCTAACCAGGCTTCGAGCAACCGGCCCCAGATGGGTAGCCCATGGGAGTAGTCCATGGACATGGGGGGTCAGCATTTTGTCCACCTCCTTTACATCACATTACTGGGGTCTAAATGTGATTAATGGATCAATTTAGGTTTTGGAGATACTGCCTACCTACCCCTTCCCTAAGCCATCGTTTTGCTCTAAGTAAGAAGTAAAGGGCCAAAGCAAGTGTTAATGTTAACTTAGGGGAGGGGAAGGTGGGCAGTTTCTCAGAAACCTAAATTAATCCTGATTAATATGATGCTTTTTGGGACTTTTTTGAAACTGGAAAGATATATGTCCCACAGATCTTTCAAATTCACTTTTATCACAATCCTCTGTTGTTATGAACAGAGAAAAATAAATAAAGATTATGTAACACTTTGATAAATAAGTTTTGAAGAAGTGTGCACCAACAAGCCCCAAAATTTTTATTAGTAAATTACTATCAGAATGTATTCAATTAAGCGTTAAATTAATGCTTAATACTACTTTGTAAGTCGGTTAGTCCGGAAAATTAATATTATTTTAAAATTCAATGAGTGGCGGGGCTCTCTTTCAAGTTAACAGAATTTCTTGTTGAGCATCCTTAGATCTTCGTTTTGCAACAGAATTTCTGGAGAGTCCTTTCAATACAGGTATTTTTTCTCCAAGAAGTAGTTTCTCAATTCTGCCAATTCTGTACTCAAGAAGCAACATCCCATCAGGATTCTTTCTAGTTTTAATGCTTATTCATGTGTTCCAGGGAAGCTTACTTAGCAAAAACGAAATTCATTCATGCAGCTGTGTTGCACAAAAGTAAAAAGAAAAACACAATGGAAGCAAACTTACATGTCAAAATCCAAGTGAGATATTCCATATGCTATCAATTTTTCTGTTTTTTCAGCCTTTTCTTTGTCACAGAGGAATGCATGAGGATGGTAGAATTCTCTGTAGCAAGCAACAAAGTCATTATTATACAAGCTAACCTTAATTGCACGTTCAAACACTAGCAACAGCTGGTGGTCCACAAATATGTAAATACCATTTACATGTTTTTGTCAATATTTTCTGAGTCCTTATTAGAATATGATATAAAAATTTTAAAAGGATTACTTGCAGAAAAATTATGAGTGGGTGATGGTTGCAACTGAAAGATATTACAATAATACACTGTATAACCTTAATACTGCAACACAGGGAAATAGTTCACTCAAGCCCACATCTGCTTTTCAAGTTGATTTTTGTCTGTCTTGTACAAGTGTTGTTATTTGATGCTTCAGTGAAAAAATAATACTAAAGTCACCTGCAAACATTTCTTTAAAATGAAAATATGTTTCCTGGGTGACAAAAGTGATTTATCACTTCTAATATTTTCTTTCTGTACCATCAGTTGATATATTCTTTATGTGACAATAGCTTCTAAAAACATTTGATTATAATATTATTATTATTATTATTATTATTATTATTATTATTATTATTATTATTATGAACATATTAGGAGTCCACAAATAGTGGAAAACAATAATATTTATTTATATTACTTATGTCTAAAACTGTAAAAAACAGCAAGTTTTTGAATTTGAATTTATTGTATTTAGATACTGTAAATCCTCTTTAAAACCCCCCAGGGGGGCTTATTTTTTTTCAAAGACATTTCAAGGGCTTATTTAATTTAGCAAAGAAGTTGGTCTCAGTTCTCAATCAAGAACTATCAAAAACAAATCCAAACTTCCAACATGTGAATAAACCATCATGGATCAGTCCAAATGAAGTTTTACAATCGTGATTAATACAATTTATCGTGAAAACTAATGAGGGGGAGTGGGGGAGGGGGCTTAATAAATTTCTTCCCCTGAAAAGGGGGACTTATTAGAGAGGGGGCTTAAATAGAGGATTTACAGTGCACACAGATGCCTGATTTGAATCTTGCAATATTTTAGTCAACTAGTATAATAAAACAATTTATTATTATGGTTTGCTTATACATCAGTATGCCAATTCTGATCTCTGCACAACTGTGCTTTCTTCACTACATAACATGTTATGGTTCAAGGAAACCCGCGCTTTTTTGAATATTTTCTTTTATTAGGAACTCATTATTGTACATAAACAACTGATTATCATATACCCAAAAAAAGGAAATTAAAATTTGCCCCAAAGAAAAAATTAAACTACTGTACATTTAAAAACTTCATATTATAATTTTTTACTTTACTTTGTGAAAATAAAAAAAATCGCTAACTAAAATATAGAAATAAACAATCTAATTTAGAAGACACTCACAATAATTTATAAAATCATATAAAGTGTACCTCAGAAGTTTTTCATCCTGACTGATAGCATTCAAGTAGCTGCTCAGTGTATTCTCCTTGAGACCTTGTCTTATCCATGCCATACATTTTTCTTGATCAGTTTTTGAGCGAAGCCTACATGAAACAAAAACAGGTTTTTAACTATATTTCAATGATAATTAATATTAGTTATCATAAACAAAGATCATAATTCAAACTAACAATGTAGTTGTTTAAAAGCTTGATTTCTAAAACAGGTTGCTTTTGAGATAAGATTTGCACTGAATGAAGTGGCCGCTCTTAGCAAGTTAACCACGATATATTTTTTAGTAACTTGACTGAAAGCACTTTAAAGTGTATTAACCTGTAAAGAGTTTAACAGAGCTAAATAATCTATTCCACCAAAAATAAGAGTATTTTTGGTCTCAAAACAGTACAGGTAATATGATTTTTCCAGTTGTACTTGTAAGTAGTGCCTGCTTGCATGGTATAACTGAAGTTTTTGTGGAATGTCTTGTGCCTACAGTGTAGGTAATGAGTCGATGATAAGTTGATCAAAGGTGTGCTCTAGCAGTGCCCAGTGAATCCTGGCACCTAACTTTTGCTCTAGGGCTACGAGAAAATGTTAACTGTCTTCATATAAATCATTAGCTGGACACCCTGGATTTCACAGGTTCAGAGCTCTGGGCAAATTTCTCTCTTTCTTGCACAGTCTTAAGCTTGGTTGATTGATAATGCTGACTTTAAAGTAAATGCTAAAGTCAGGGATACAATGTAAAAATATTGGACTGGGTTAACACAGTTGCCAGTGCAACAGCTTCAAACAAGCCAGGGCAACTACATGACTACAATTTCAGCGGCCACGGTGTACAATACTACAATTATTGTAGTATTGTGAAGTATGATATGTACACCTAGTATTATCTGGAATAAAAATTAAAATACACTGTAACTGCAACAAGTAGTTTTATTGGACTACATATACCTTTATTTCTTTTGTTTCTTTATATCATGGATTTTTGTTCTGAAGCAAAAATTCTGAGCAGTTCACAAGGATTAGATCAAGCCACACTGAGGGGGTCATTTTGATACTGTTGTGGTCACGTCACTCTAGACTCGCCAAGGGTATAACATACTTTTTGCTCTATTTTTGAAATTGCATTTCTTTATAGTTAAGAGATATTTAGACTACCATATGGCTAAAAGTCATGTGAGACATAAATCTGACCTACAGTGCTGGCCAGAACTAATCAGACCACAAAAACTCAATGAAGACGGACGTACATGTCAGCTCAGATGCAAGATGGCATCACAACTTATGTACATCTGCGTCAGCTCAGACGCTTTTTCATTTGTTTTTCACTATGACAGCTTTGCTTTTTGTGGTGGGGCAATGGTGTCAGAAACCAAAGCAAACTCTCAGGTTCAAAGAGGTTTGATCAATAATTTATTACTTAACATGTATAAAACACAAGCGGGACACTCAACACAATAAATCAACATAAATTTACAATTTTTCCTGGTCAGGTACCTGTTAATGTCTTCTATGTCCTTTTTACATGTAATTTTATTCGCTAGTGACCAAAAAGATACTTGATTATTTGAAGCCCAGCTGAGAAGCCTGCAAAAAAAGACAGCCAATCTTAAACCAGAAAATGACAACATCATTGAAACATTTTACAACAAGAACTTTATCTGAGGATAAGGGTCCCACAACATCTTCCCCAGATTTTTGGCAAGTCTTTCAACCTCAAGAATCAAAATAACAGTCTGTACCACAACAGAGACATGAAACCTACATGTATAATGGCTCTAACAGTTTTCAGACTGTAACACCTTTTGTAGGTATTTAATTTGACCTTCGAAGGAAACCTCTTCATAGGGTATTAAAATCACATCAACACCATCAGGCATATGTATCAGATGAGTACTTAACTTCAAAGAACTGTCAACCTTTTGAATGAAGATGTTACTTTTACTACAAGTATTATTACCAAAATCCTTCAGGGTTTTGGTTTCTCGGTCAAGTTAGAGCTTTAATTTGGTACTTAACCTGCAACCTGAAGTTTTGTGAATACTCCAATGACGGCCAAAAATCTTTGGTGTAGAGATTTTTAAAAAAAACTTCCTTCAACAGCAGAACACAGAAACTGTGTCAATTTGAAAATTCTAAAATCAATGCTGTTCAAAAGAATCTTAACCAAAGTTTTGGCAATGCTGCCTTCTTCAGGGTTCAAACTGTACATGTGTTATCAGTTGTAGCATACATTGTAACATCCATGTTTGCACTAGTTTGGATGTCTCTAATGGCTTCCCTTTCCCCCAACAAACAACATTGTGAAAAGCAAACTCTTTTCAGGACAGGGTGAACAAATTACAACTACATTGCTTGGGGTGAGAAAGGACGGGAGTCAGTTTAATTAAGTCTTATCATGTTGAGTGTGTTTGTAATGACTTTTGACCTCCACTGTGGTTTTTTCCAACAACTCTGCCACTGAGGCCTTCAAACCCTGATCCTGTACAGAAAAATTGCATTTCAATATTGCTTTTCAGGCTGTCTAAAAGAAGAGACCTTATGACCAAATCACAACATCAGTCCCACGAACACACATGTTGATGGCACGCATTGTTTCTGGTGAATAAACCGCAGACAGGCTAGACACACCCTGCTTACATGTAAGATGCTCAATACACCGTACATGTACCAGGACATGCAGTGAAATCCATAACAGTGTTTAAAATGATGGATCAAGCATACCCTCTTCAGCCACAAGTCATTGCTTGACTACCCCTCCTCCTCCCCAAGGGTAAAGCTTAAAGGTATAGTACTCAGTACTATACATCCCACAACCACCCCCTAAAAAATGTATGTCCTTGCATACAGATGTACTATTCTATTTTGCAATATCAACATTACTGTTAGTAGCAAAGAAAAAATTTTCTGTTAACGACATGCAGAGAATGCAACACACTAACCCCTCTTTCAGCCCATGGTTGAAAATATCTTCCATACAAAAGCATAAGTTATCCACTGCTTTGCAGTTCCAGATAACACTGTACCCTTGGGCAACTTGCCTTTGGATCTATGAGAAAGAAATTGCACAACAATAAGTGGCAATGCAAAGGAAGTTGTGTCCAGGGGCCTTAGGCTCGTGGATTTTGCAATTGGGCTAGTGAATTATCTTCTTAACTTCCTCGATGAGCATATGAAGTTTTTTGGGGGAAGCCAAATTTGGGGTGACCGTATTAATGAGGGTTTCTTGACAAGAAAATGTATGGTGGTTTTTGCCGAGCGGCCAAAAAAAGTGGCTGTAACAACAAGGTGACTGTATTACCAAGGTGGCTGTTAGGTGAAGTTCCACTGTATCCCTCCAAAGGGATAACTGAGTTATTAAAAAATTATGATATCCTATCTGTGTATATTCCTCAGACTGCCTAACCTGAACCTTTTTTTGACAAATATTTCACCTGAAAAAACAACCACACTGGTTCTCCAGCGAAATGACGTCTTAGAAACAAGTGCAGAAATTCCATACTGATAACGAGTCACTACCCAGATTTGGATAGTGCTTCTGATTGCTTCCAAATAGGTTTTATCTAATCAGAAACACATCCCAGATCTTGATAGTGATGCATTACCTGTACAGAATTTCTGTGCTCGTTTCTCAAATGTCATTTTGCCGGGAGACCTGGCGGTGTCACAAAATGTTGGCTGTTTTCTCAGGGTAATATTTCACAATCCCTTATTTTCATTTATGACTTTTGACAAAAGTAAAAGGTGAAAAAATAGGGGTCGATAATCCCAAAGAGGTGAATTGCTATAAGTGGGGGTGGAGGTGGGGGTGAGGTACACTATACATGTATTATCATTCTAATGAAGGAACTAAAAAAAGAAGATACAGGTCAGAAAATAATCATGAGATTGGTTATCATTGATGGAAACACAGTAACTCGCCTAGCCTCCCTGCAGACATCCTTTGGGATTTGTTCGTCACGAATTCTTGAATGTGTGACGAACGAACCCCAAAGGACGTCTGCGGGGAGGCTATAACTCGGCTAGATGTAAGCAATTAATTCTGTCACTCAAGCCAACACTTGGATAAGGTAAGATACTATAAAAACATTTATCATTTTGACAGGCATGCTTTTTTTATATTCTATTTGTAACTACTACTTGTACATGTAGCAGCTAGAAAAGCTAAATTCATCTCATGTGACAGTGTTAATTATTAATTCATTATTGAAATTTGAATGTGTAATATTATCATTATTATTAAATTGTTACTGATCACCTTATTATTGTAAGTCTTTTTTAGAAGTCTATGGACGACATAGACCTAAACATACCATTGATACAATTGAGCTATCTACATTCTAGATCAGCATTAAATCACATGGCACTGTTGAGCTTTTTTCGTATGAATATTTTGTTTCCTTTCTTTGACAACAGGTGGAAATAAAAATAAACTTAAATTGAAATAAAATTGTGTTAAAACTGAAATAAAATTTATTTTACATATGCCTGTCATNGACCTAAACATACCATTGATACAATTGAGCTATCTACATTCTAGATCAGCATTAAATCACATGGCACTGTTGAGCTTTTTTCGTATGAATATTTTGTTTCCTTTCTTTGACAACAGGTGGAAATAAAAATAAACTTAAATTGAAATAAAATTGTGTTAAAACTGAAATAAAATTTATTTTACATATGCCTGTCATGAAAAGGGTAAAACAAAGAGACAGAGGTCTCGAACGTAAACATGCCTCTTTTAGCGCGAAGTATCTCAATATCAACCACTGAGCATGCTTTAGCTTAAATTGTTTTAGTTCTTTTGTTAAGCTGTCAGCGATCAAGACAAAAGTGCCTTTTTACAATACTGCAGTCGACTATGGCGCTCAGCTGCCATAAATTATGATATTGTATCATTCTTACCTCTTCTACGGCAGTAGAAAGACTGCTGTATAAATCGTCGCTGAGTTGATCGTGCATGTCACGCGAAGTGAGCTTTGAAACTGGAGTCTCAGCTTAGGTTACGATTTCAGAGAACGATCGGCAAATCATGAGCTCATATTACAAAGTAAATATCCGCCCTCTATTTAACTCTCTCTATTAGAGCATTTTTCGCTTAATATTTCTTCCGTCTAAGGAAATGTACATTGAATGGGTCTCTGTGGTTTTCTCGAACAATCTCTACACGCAATCTGGAATATGTTGTTTTGGGTGACGCAACGATGAAAGATTTCCGGGACGCACTTCAGCGTCAGTTTCAAGACGAAGTGAAACCTTTACCGAGCTGAAACTATACCAGAGCACAGTTTAGCTATAACCTTCCGTTAAACACGTTTTTTATAGGTCTCGCGATGTTGTGATCGATCTATTTCATTTTGAAATACAACGGCCCTCGCGCGTAGATTGAGCCAGCCATCTTTGTTTCTAATCCGGGAGACTGTAACTTGGGAGATAGCTGACCACGTTATTATTGATCGTTGTTTCATTTTCAATATGGCGGTCGCTCTAGAGGCATTGAAAATTTGTGAGAGTTTGGAAGGAATCTTAAAGAAAACCTTTGGTCCGAACGGGCTTGATGTCATGTTAAATTCATCTTCTGGTAATATTCTCATAACCAACAATGGTGCACTGATTTTGAAGTCACTCAGTTTGGATAATCACATCGGTAGAACCGTGGTTGATGGTGTTGTCTCACTGAGCAGCATTACAGGAGATGGGTCAACCTCGTTTATTTTACTGCTCACAGCTCTTTTAAGGGAAACTATACAGTGTACCGGAATTTCAGGAAGAAGTAGTAAAGCAGAAATGTCCTCAAACCAAAGACAGTCTCTTCTCGCTTTATCTCGAGCTTTTATTCAATTTGAGTCGACGTTAATTGACGAAGTTGTTGTTCCATGTCTTCGAACAATCACCGTAACGACGGACCTGCAAGATGAAGATCTCTCGATGATAAAGCAAAAAATCAATAGACTGATATATTCAACATTGAATGGAAAATTTCCAGTCAATACAGTCTTTCTTTTTGCAGAAATTCTTTCTGACTTGATAAGTAAGACTTGGAAATCCCCAGTGTTGTCTCTAAGAGAATCGGTTTTGCACGTGATTGATGAATTTCCTCAGATTTGTATAGAAGTGCCAAGTCTACCAATTTCATTCTCACAAGTCAAACAAGGAATATTGATTCCTCGTCGATTTGCTTTTGATGTGGAAGAAATGTTCACTACACTTCAAAACTTCAAGTTTGTAGTCTTGAACTGTAGCCTTGACATATCTGAGCCACAGGTGCCATCATCTATCAGAACCAATGATCAAAGTTCATTTGACATGAATTTTCAGTGGAAAAGAAATAAAGTTCAAAGGTTGATAACAATGTTTCAACAACATGGGATCAGACTCATTTTATCATCAGAGAATGTGTCTGACCTTGTCTTACATTTCTGTAGGCAAACTGGAATAGCTGTTGTCAGTATGATCCCTGTCGAGTATACAGAATACATTTGCAAGTGCACTGGAGTACTTCCTGTTCATAATATTGACAGTAATAACCTTGACGAAGTCTTCTTAGGCACAAGTCTTTCATGTGGTACTCAGAGACTAGGTCATCACAAGTTTGTTTGCATGCATGTCAACCCACATAACCTTCAGTTCAGTCCACACTATTTAATTCTTTGCTCCCCAGCTCAAGGATTGTGTAAACAATACTACATTGCTCTTCACAATGCTTTAAAATCTGTCAAAATGTCTTTCAGTGAAGATGGGAATTGCCTGACATTTCTACCTGGTTGTGGTGCTGCTGAGTTTGCTATGAGCTTTAGTTTGAAGCTTCATTCACTCAATTTTGTAGATCCCAATACGTCACAAGCCTTGCAAATATTAAGTAAAGCTTTGCAAACTATTCCAAACACACTCCATCAAAACTCATTTTCTATTTTACACCAAAAAGAAAATTTTATGCATTGTCTACATGAAGTTGAGAAGTCTTGGAAGAACAATGGGATTGTTCTTGGAGTAGATTCTAAAACAGGAAAAGCTGTAGATGCTGGAAAGTTAGAAGTTTATGAACCCTTTTCAGGGAAGTATTTGTTGATACGGAGTATGCTGCAATGCTTATCACAGCTGCTAAGGACAGAAAAATTCTTAGGTGCGAAAAAGCTGTAGGTTATTTATAGGGTTAAACCCCATTGTAGTGTCTCACACAGAATGCATATAGTTGTATGATTGTATGTCTGTTATAAATTCTGGAAGTTATCAGCTCCTGTATCTGAATAGGAAATCTAAAAATTTGAAGGCTTGTTTCAACTTTCTATGTATGTAGTCACACATGAAATCACATACACAGTTTCAAATAAATGCGGCAGGATTAGCTCAGTCTGGTAGAGCGCTTGACTGCAGAGCAGGAGGTTGTGGGTTCAATTCTCGTGGTGGGACCAATACTCAGGGTCTTAAAATAACTGAGAAATGAAGGTACTACCTTTGCCCTGCAAATGGCCAGACCTTCGCGTGGCTCGGATGACCACATAAAATGGTGGGGAGATGTCTTAAAATATAGTGTCCCCAATATTTTTTAGCACTTTCATGCTAAATACATTGACACTCAAATAAAGTGCATTTTTTAAATTAATTGTATTCACTATCTGTCCTCTCATTGGCTAATAGCCTACAATTAATTAATTTTTGGAAATCAGTGCAACCTACAGATTAGTGACTAGGTTGCATGCGCAGTGCATGATTCCTAAGAGTGATGTCAAACTGCGTTTTGTGTGATCATGATGGATTATGTGTAATAAGACAATATTATTATTAGATTTGGTTTTTTGTGATATTTGGAGTAATTAAGGTCTTGATAAGTGTTATCAGCCTCAGTCTTCAGCTTGGCTTATAACACCTCAACCTTGAGTATTCCTAGCCTCCTACCCAGATGTTCCAGGTATTACAAAAACCTCATCATCCAATAACAGTCATACAGAGTTCAGGTATTATGATCTTGAAACTGATGTCACTGTTCTGAGGGAACAGTACCAAAATCAGGCTCAATTTTTAAATAAATAAATAGCAAACTGTGGAGCTTTCTGAAACGGTGTAGTGATACCTTATTAATTGCCTTCGTTACTTGCATTCAAAGGGAAAGGGGAATTTGGGCATGCCAGAACCCCAGGGAGATATTCCAGATTTCAAGTGACAGGGATGATTGAAGGACTTTTTGGGTTTGAAATTTTCGATTCCGAGATTTTTTGGTAAGAAATTCTGGCAAGTATTTTTTTCGGATAGCTTGATTCAAGTAGGGATTTTTTGGGTTATTCAAAATAATTTGAAGATTCTTGGTAGTGCTTGCATATCCTGGCTACCAAGTTCTGTCAGTTAAAGTACAACCACACTTTTTTTTGAAAAACTCTATTTTTCGTGTTATTTTGCAGTTTAATTTTGTCTGGAAAATTTTAAGGCTTGTAAATTTGGCGTGAGATTTTTGGGTGGGTTAAATTTTGGTTTAGGGATGTTTCAATGGGGTTTTGCTGGAAGCCTGTAGGGATGATTTTTGCTTTTGATTTTTGACCCCATTTGATCGTCCCCGTTACTTGAAATCTGGAGTATTCCCCCCGAGGCCAGAACCCAAAGGGCATATGTGGGAACCTTCTGTCCCAGACAACACTGACTTTGTGGACACCTCATTAATTCTATTATAAAAACCCCAATAATAAATGGATAGGAGGTGAAAGGTGCGGCAGAAATACATTTTACAAACGTTTGACCAAAACAAAGCCCCAGCCTTCACCATCTTTTTTTTTTTTTTTTTGGAAAGCGAGTAGCTGAAACTCATCAAAGAACAAGAAACCGGCCTGAATCAGGATAACGGAAGAGGACCAAGGAAAAGGGGCATGCATGGGTACCCCCCATAGATTAGGTGGGGGAGATGGGTAACATTTCAGTTCAAACGGACCCCTTTGCCCCTACCCCCAAATCTCCCCCACCGAGCGATCAACAACCAGCCCGAGTGACAGTCCCCGTCCCCGCTCCACTTCATATTCGTCCCAGTCTCTGTCTATCAACGCACAGTACATTTCGTCTTCCATATATGACGCATCTACATAAAAAAATCAACATGGCGGCCAAACGAAAATCACAAGGTGACCGCGAAGATGACGACGATTCTTCAATTTTGCCGCCCAAACGACATGAAAACACGACTTCACAAGATGCAACGACTTATTATAGCACAGAATCTTCTTATGGTGTCCAGTGGTACGAACAGCGCGGCCAGTGGATAGCATTGTATGACTGGAATAGTGGACATTATTATTATCAAAATATCAGCGATCATAGAACGCAGTGGGAACAGCCAGCAGATTGGGATTCTATTCACCCTCTGTATATACCAGTAAACCAGTACAGTGCGGGATTTTGGAATGAGTCGGTGAACAGAAAAGTCGATACATCAAAAGATGTTCACGAGGAAGAAAACTACAAGACATCTGTCGGCGATTTGGAGGCGAAGGTTCAGCTGTTTCTCAGTCGTCCTGCTCGCCGACAGATCGATCCGGAGGAGAAGAAAAAACTGCACTGGATCCCTGAGGGAGCTACTGAATATAACATTTGGTATGATCGCTGGGTGGGAGAACACTGGAGAGCGGACAAAGACCACGGTCAGTTATGTGGTTAATTAGTTAAATCTTCTTCAGCCTTGGAAACTTAAGTAAAAACAAAAATGTTTGATATACACGGAAAAGCGTAGTTTAATACAGTTATTAGTGAATGTGAGGCTTAAGTTGACTCTGGTTAACATTCCCCCTGGCACCCCAGGGACCCTCTGAATAGGTGCACAGAACTAATGCCCAGAATAGCAAAAAAGGCACCTTATGGGTGGCATTTGTTGCTCAAAAATACCTTTGCTTAAAAACCAATCATTTTTCACCTTCAAACAGAACTAGATGGACAACATCTTCATAGAGAAAAGAATATAAATTTCCTTTTTTTGTGGTTCTGGCTTGCAATCTTTAGTATAATCACTGAACAGTTAAGAAGTATTTTCTGTTACACAAACAAAAAAGTCATATCTGAGATNGCGAAGGTTCAGCTGTTTCTCAGTCGTCCTGCTCGCCGACAGATCGATCCGGAGGAGAAGAAAAAACTGCACTGGATCCCTGAGGGAGCTACTGAATATAACATTTGGTATGATCGCTGGGTGGGAGAACACTGGAGAGCGGACAAAGACCACGGTCAGTTATGTGGTTAATTAGTTAAATCTTCTTCAACCTTGGAAACTTAAGTAAAAACAAAAATGTTTGATATACACGGAAAAGCGTAGTTTAATACAGTTATTAGTGAATGTGAGGTTTAAGTTGACTCTGGTTAACATTCCCCCTGGCACCCCAGGGACCCTCTGAATAGGTGCACAGAACTAATGCCCAAGAATAGCAAAAAAGGCAGCTTATGGGTGGCATTTGTTGCTCAAAAACACCTTTGCTTAAAAACCAATCATTATTCACCTTCAAACAGAAAAAGATGGACGACATCTTCATAGAGAAAAAAATATAAATTTACTTTTTTTGTGGTTCTGGCTTGCAATCTTTAGCATAATCACTGAATAGTTAAGAAGTATTTTCTGTTGCACAAACAAAAAAATCATATCTGAGATATGTATACATTTTTTTTTTGTTGAAGGCAAATAAATAGATCTATTGATATTATAAGTCACTGGCTCAAATATCTTCGCGAGTTTTGATTCCAAAATTAGTTTTTCTTGGTTATTTCTGACCAAAGAAGTTTTAGATTATTGCTACCATAGATGATAGTGAATATTATTATAGAGTCAAGTTTAAATTAATTGCCAAGACAAAGTTCCTCTTTTGCCAGTAAATTTGCTTAATGTTCAGCATCTTTTAGCAAGCTTTCAAAACATCTTTTATCCTTTGGTAATCCTTAATTGCCTCCAAATCCAGCTCCCCTTATTTCTCATGTTTACCAAAATCTTTATTATTGGAATCAGAATCTGAGACACTGTGCCATTGTGTAGACTCCTTTTCCATCATTATTTTAGTAATAAGCTGAGTGTGATCTGGTGAACTTTCTAAATCTGAGAACTTTTCAATTGTTTCCAAGTCCAGCTCAAATTCATCTTCAGAATCATCTTCAAAGTCTGACTCAGAATTTTCATCATCATCATCATCATCTCTTAGGTCTGAATCACAGTCCTCATCTAAATAATAAGCTGGGTCTGTAGGTGGTACAAGTTGGAGTTGCTCCACAGTCTGCTGGTATTTTAACTCTGAGACAATTTCTTGTCCTTTCATCTCAGAAGGCAGACTGTCTTGTCTGATACCAACTTGTCCAACTCTGACCGTGTTTTTATGTGTTAATTCCACTGCAGAATTTGTTGAAGAGTGCAGGTGTTGAAGCAATGTTACAGGCTCTTGAAACACTTGCTTTTGTGCCACTGATTGCATAATCTGTTGCTCATTTTTCTCAAACATTTCTAGTGAAGGAGCAAATGGTCTCTTGTTTCCTGGCAGATCCTCGTGTGGACTTGCTAGTGACGTGAATTCCATCATCGGTTGTTGTGATAACTTACAAGCTATACCTGGTGTTTCTAGATCAGCTGCTGGTGCAATACACATGGTGTTGATAAACGGTGTTGCCATTGCAAGACTTTCTTGAGTTATATCCATTTCTTCGTGATCCGCATTTGAAAATGGAAAAGGAACTACTTGTTGATCTACCTCCATTTCCTCTTCGCGTGTTTTAAAGCTGAAGAGTGCTGGCGAGGCCAAAATAGATGGTAGGGAAAATGACAGAAGGTGCCACAACGAAGAATTTTCCTGCTCAGTCTCCATTGCATCGCTTTCCACCAAAGCATTAGAACTCAATGGTGTCTGCAACATATCGCAAGCCTCTGTTAATGCCCCTGGGTTGTGGCCTATGTCCATTTCCTCCTGTCGTATTTCAGGTTCTGTAGTTAGTTCATGCGTGACCTCCATTTCCTCTGGTATTATGATAGTGAAAAGAGTCTTGCTCTTCCCACTTTCTGTCACCTCCATAAGCTCCACCTGCTCTGTTATACCTTTACTTGGCAACTCTTCATCTGCTTGGGAGGTATACATGGCTGAGGCTAGTGCTGTTGTTTGCATCCTGGAGATCGTCCCTGTTCTGCCTATAGCCTGTCTTTTGATGTTCACTCCTGTTCCTGCTATAATCGTGGAGCCTCTAGCATTCTCCATAGTAGAAGCTCTCTCCTCGCCATTTGATGATCGCTTCGGTCGAGAAGCTGCATGCTCCATCACTTTGTGTGTTATGGCTTCATACTCTTTCGCATTGTTAACGACACTAGATGTTTGTGTTTCCTTACTGACTTTTACAGAAGTTATCAGATCTAAACGCCTTTGCCTTGGTGACATGTTTCGAGTATGTGCTGTAGGAGAAGCAACCTTTCTCACATTAGAAGGCGGTAATAATCGTGGCGTAATTTTATCTTTTGTCTGGCAGGTAACTGATGGAGCCGATAGTCGTAGATCTTCATTTGCGGAAGTTACAACTCTCTTTTGTTGACTCTTTCTGCCCACAGTGGCCAGGAAAGGTTTATCTCCAGTGAAGGATAACACCGAGCATAACGTTTCTTTGCCGCTCTTCTTGTCTTTTTTCAATGCTTTTGATTGCATCTCTCTAAGCACTGGCGGGTGGAAGTGATCCGCAGCCGATTTTCGCTTCCAAGTGCTGCGTGATCTACTGGGCTGTGGAGGAAAACTGATGCCAGGGTTTTGTGAGTTCTCGGAACAACAGCATTGGTAAGATGTGATTGGAATGTCTCCTTTCGTAATTGGTGTAAAACTAGAACCACCTGAATGGTCATCTTCACTATGAGGTGATAGTTGTTCTCGATGTACAACAGGAATAACGGCAGATCTGTCTACTTTGGAGCCTTTCTTGAAATTTGATAATACGTTCATCTCTTCGATAGATGTATTTTCTGGCATACTTAGTTTGCTTGCCATCAGCTGAGAGACTGCTTCTTGTATTCTGAAGCAAAACGCTGATACTATTGATTTTGAGTTTGAAACTGCACTTATAAAAAGGTCAACTGTTTTCCATAGAAGCCTCGAGGTAACATTCTTAGTTGCCTTCCCTTTTAGTGCATGAACGTAACTGCAAACCGCCTCCCGTGCGGAAAGCGTGAAAACTGTTATTGTATAAGCCATAATCATGGAAATTATATTTCTGCATTCCTTGATTCTCCAATTGTTTTTTATGCCTGCTAGAAAGCCTTTGAAGCAGACATAACTTGTCCGTTTTACGATCAGCACCAAACGAACCATTGCCTTAGTCACACTGCTTAAGACGTTAAATGTGTTGTGTCCTGGCACACAATCATTGCCTTTTTCTAGCGGAGAGGTAATGTTTTGTGATTCCTTTGATCTCATCGCAGGCGCATAGTCATTCTCAACCTCGCCATTTGGCCGGTCGTGACTTGCAGGTCTTTTTGTTTCCTCATCCATATCAACAGACCACAGTCGCACAAACCTTTTTGGTGCTGAGCTTGAAATTGGGTTACATTTCGTTTGCGGATTTATCTTTAAAACCTGGTTAAGCTGATCACTTTGATTGTTCAGTCCTTGACTGACATGCTTCTCATTCCAAACGTCATACCTCTCCCAGTGACTACAGGTCGACTTCAAACTCGAAATACCTTTTTCAGTTATAGGATCTTTGCCTTTCTTCTTCGCATGTTCTTCAAATTTACGAGGCTTAAGTAGATGTTTGTAGTGAGTTCTTTCCTGTCTCTTACCACCAGACTCCTCCCACAAAGAAGGTCTGGTACTAGGGACAGCTTTCTCTGTCCTACGAAAATTGCTTTTGCTGGAAACACATTCTTTAACTCTCGCTATCTTGTTCACGGTAAACGGAATTGGCAGCCTGTCGTTATTTGCGTTATTTCCGTTGAGCAAACTCTCCTTTTGTTTGAAAAGTTTTTTGTTCCTCTCAGTTTGGTTTGGTTTCTTGACTTGGCGATTTCCTGTATTTTCAGACGCAACAAGAGGTAATGTACCATTACCTCTGAAGGTAATTGTAGTCAGTGTAGGCTCTTTTTGCTGCCTTGCGGCCGTTCTAGCATTTATCTGCCTGAATGCGCAAATAAAACTTTTACAAAACTTCCTCTCCATCCATTTCCACTTTTTCATCATCAACTTTAAAATAAAGAATGTGAACGCGCCGATAATATATATATTGCTTAAGAAACCGCTTACGCTATCCATGTTAGAGTTTTTCCTTCCACAAGATCTCTGACTAAACTTTTTTGCTTATTTCATTTGTGACGATATTCTATTGCTACTGTTGCGTCATCGCTTATTCCCGCGCGCGCCATTTAGCGCGCGCTGCACAAAACACAGCAGTCACGAAAAGCCGACTTTACACCGACTATGGATAACTGCATGGAACAAACCGAAAAATGAAGTATTCGCGTCGTAATAAATATGCAAATGACAACCCAATGTTAAATTTTCTGGAAAGCGTTCTCAGGGTATAGACAACATTTTCAACATTAAAATGTTTTCACGCATGTTTGTTCAGCTCGAAAGTGTACTTTAAGTAACGCATGTGTTAATCGAAGTTACTTACTGCCATGGGTGTCATTGGTTGAAATGTTGAAAACGATATTGCATTCGCAAAGAAACTGCTGTTTGGTGGAGAGGCGGGACATTCCGCTTGCAGAGAAAAAAACACCTTTCTGATTGGTTATCCCTCGGAATGCTCCGTCAAAAAATGATCTGAGTATCTAACAAGAACATAAGTAGGAAAATAACTCTTTTAAACAGAGAGCTGTTTAAAAACATCTGTTTAAATGAATCAATAAAATTAATAAAGATGCATGATGGATTAAGTAAATCTATACTTGACATGTATTTTAATGTTTTTTCTTGAAAATTAAAGTATTTTTAGCGACGTTAATATTATTTTAACAGACGATGCACTGAATGCCTTTAGAACCTTTGTAAGGAGTGAAGTATTTTGGGCGATTACAACATTTCTGAATTCCCAGTTGTTTAAAATGAATTCCTTTTTTTAACAGTCATAGCCGAGACATTATCCCTGGAATCTTTTAGCAAATTATCAGTTTTTACGAGCAAAGAGATAAATGATAATTTAGTCGTGAATATCTTTTCCCATTTACATGTTTACAGGTCCTTCAGAGACAAGGTGCTGTTTAGAAACAGATGCTGGATTCACAAAAGCCAACGTGTATGAACCGGGTGGAAACAAACATTATTTCTGTATCTACTTCGCTAGAGGGTGTTGCCATTTGGGGTCTGAATGTGGATACTTTCACGTGATACCCACAGATAAAGATGAACAAAGGTCAGTGCGTCTTGCTAAATACTATGTTTTTCATTGATATTGGGAAAACGGGGTTACCCGAATGGAGTGAAATTTAAGCAGTTTGAGAAGTCAGTAAGAGTGCTTTCAATTAAGTTTCTGCAAAGTAGGCACAATGGTGGTTGAGTTCCCCAGAGCCAAAAACACCAGTATAAGTGATGTCGAAGCTACAATAGGGCTTTGGGAATGCAAAAAAACAAACAAACAAGTCTCTTTCTCTGAATTTTATTAACCCGTTTGCAAAAAAAAAAAGTTTGTTGAGAATCTTTTATTTTCAAAAAACGTTGAGATTGGATTATCTTCTTCCAAGTGCCCTGGTTCGAGTAGTTGCACCTTAACACAGCTGATATTTCATTGCAGAATCGATCTTGCCCATGACGTTTTTGGCCGAGAGCGTCACCGCCTTCACAAGGATGATATGGGTGGAGTGGGTACATTTGACAAGGAATGCAGGACACTGTATGTTGGAGGACTGGCTAATCGAACTAAACTGGAGAAACTTCTGTGGTCTGAGTTTGGCGAGTGGGGTGAAATTGAGGTAAGAATAAACATTGCCCGTAATAAAAGCAAGAGGTTTACATAAGTAAAACAGCAACTTTGCACGTGCATCACGATTTTTGTACATTTCTTTGCTGTCACTGTACCACTATGACGTGGAAATGTCTATTTTTACGTTTTTACACGTGGAGGACGTCAACACTCGACGTTCTTTTTCTTTTCCTGAACTTCGATACAGTCTTTCAGAATTCGACTGTAGATAAATTTGCTAACATTTGAGGATTTGAACGAGACTGAATTAATTCACTTGTAAGTGACTTTTTCGCAAGGATGAAGCTCGGTTTCGCCCTCAGATAGCAGAAGTTAGTGGAGGCTCTCGTGAACGGTCACGACCTCTATTACCGTCACTTTTAGACATTTCTCTTTGTGTTTATCTTCCGGAAAAAGACCACTGGAGACAAGCTTCGATCTGTAAGCCTTTGGCTCTTATTATATTTTTCATGGCCTTATTCTTTCCTTTTACCTCATAGGACTTGAGAGTAATACCAAAACGCAACATCGCGTTTGTGCGCTACAAGAACAGGGTGAATGCGGAGTTTGCAAAGGTGTGGTGTGAACTGTTTCGTTACAAAATTTAACCGGGTGCGTTAGGTTTACAAAAGATAGACAACGGGGAAGGTGTTGGAAAGGAAGGAAGAGTGGGGGAGATCCGCGAACGCGCGAGGAGGTGTCCTTCCTCCTCGCGTGACCGTCACACTCTCACCCCCTTCCCCCTAGAGAACCTCCTTATCACAAACTATGCAGACAATGAATATTCCTAGCTTCTTAACGTTGTTACTTTTCTTCGTTTCGACCTTGAAGACTCTGTAACAGTGTTACTTTAACCCTTCGACTAAAACGCGAGAATCTCGAAAATATACCATTCGGTTCATTAAAAAAAACTCTTCATTTTTCTCTCACGAGAATTACCGGTCTCTCAGTTTTCCCCTTATTAAAGGCGATGTTAAACGAGACGATTGGCGACTACGATTTTTAGCGCAACACAGCGTAACTTGCAATGTTGGAACATTATTGAAACTATTCGATACAATGATGCAACACTGTGTTGCGCCAAAATCGTCATTGCGAATCATCTCGTGTATCATCAGCGGCAAAAAGGCAATAGGTTAGATTAGCAAAACAACAATTTTGTACGTGCATCAGGCTTTTTTTAACAGTTCTTAGCCGTCGTTGCACTACTGCAACGTGAGAGTGCCTAATTTTACGTTTTGTGAAGGACGGCAACACAACCCCGCAAGACAACAACTTTCTTTTTCTTTTCCTGAACTTTGATAAAGTCCTTCAGAATTCAACTCCATTAAAATTTGCCCACATATGACAAGTTAAACGAGATGGAATAAGTGCGATAAAGTTTGAGGCAGCGCGAATCACAATTTTTTAGTGACGTTTTCATAACCGACGCCGTCGTTGTTGCTTAAGCTCCCTAATGCAAATAGACTGATACGGGAAAGTAGTCTAGTCCAGCTTAGGTGTTATGAGGAGATGTCGTTGAGGACCCGTTAGTTTTTTTGCGGCGAAGGTGTTCCAGATCGTTCCTTTGAAAACCTTCCTGGTACAGACGTGTCATTTGTGTTTTTAAGTATGATTATAATTTTATTGAGATTTTTGTTCGTTCTTTAGATCGCAATGTCAGATCAGAAGTTAAACAATAGAGAATTGCTCAATGTAAGATGGGCTTTTGATGACCCTAATCCTAAAGCAAGGAAAGAGGTGAGCACTTGTAGTTAGCGTTTCTAAAATACATGTTGAATTGGACTCTGTGAACTCCTTTGATTAATAATGACCTTGCTTCCCCCGTTCGAACAAAAAGAGAGATTTATTGGGAAACGTTATCCAGTCAAAGAAAGGACAAATCCAAGCTATTTGCTCTTAAGTCCGGATCTGGCGTGGTTCTCAGGCGTTCCGAAGTAGCTCGTTTAAACAGTGACAGTTTAAACTCGGATCGTCTGGGGACGAGGCTATTGGAAGCACCAAATGAAGACTCAGACGACTTATCCATCCTCGACTTTACAACTTAGCGATATTTTCATTGCTCAAGGCTAACTTTAGCATCTTTCTGACCAACCTTTGTTTTGTTTTTTTTTTTTTTTTCAGGAACTTTTAAGAGCGAAAAAGAAGGTACTCGAGGCCGCATCAGAGAGAGGTTTACTTCAAAAGGCCCGTTTGCGCCCCCGCGACCCACCCGGTGGCCAGGTAACAGGGCCTTATCCAGATACAAACAACCAGTACCCCGTGGAATGTGGCCCTATGAGCAAGGAACAGTTCGAACAGGTATAGGTTTGCTTCGCTGTTTTAAACCTTTTTTTTACTCTTAGTTAATTTCCCTTTGGTTAAATATATAGTAAAATCAAATAAAATCATTTTTTATTGCTTCTCCCTTAACGTTAGTGTCTGTAAACAAAATCCTAGGCCTTACTATGTTAATTAGCTTCAAACGGTACTCTTTTCGTGCTAGAACTAGGATTGTTCTTACTTTTGAGTCTGTGTAAGAAGGCAGATGAAATCAGGACTTTTCAACAGCAATTTCATATGACACTATTTGTGGTGTATAAATGGGATCTAACTTTTGGGTATGTGGATCGGGAATCATGTGTTAAAGAAGCTTGGCAAGGGAATGTGCGCGGGAGACGAGAAAAAAATAAAGAATGAGAACAAAACAGAGGATTGGAAATGAAGCTACTGATAGAGCTGGGGTTCAAGTTAGGGTTTTGTTATTCTTGTTCTCATTTTTCATTTTCCCGTTCCCATTTTTCATTTTCCTGTTCCCCGTGCTCGTTGTAAGTGCCCCGTTTTTAGGTAGTAACATCCCAGTCTTTGGAATTTCAAAAATATGAAACGATATGACAACGCATGCACTCTGCAGCCATAGAATTAAATCCTACGGTTTGTTTTCCTGTTTCAGGCTGAAATACTAGAGAATGTGTACACAGACTGTACGAGGTTGGACGAGGCTCTGAAGAGAGGAGAGGCTCTCCACGTTAAAGAGGCGGACAGTAGTCAAGCAGTTCATTCACAGCTCTCTGAATACTCTGAGTACAGTAGTGCAGAGAACACACAAGCTACAGAGACAGATTGGAACAGTGATAATAATTACTCAGGATATTATAGTTACGATTATAGCCAAGCATGGGACTATTCGCAGTATTATCAAACTGATGACTCGTGTTCAACTAAGGATCCTTACAGAGAGATACTTACGTCCAGCGCTAAAGACAATTCCGAAGCTTCCAATAGCTAACGAACCAAGGTCTGATCTTGAATCGACGGGTACGTTAGTATGCCAGGGAATGCCCTACTTGCTAACGAACTTAGCTCCGATGACGGATCGATTGAGACGCAATTACACGTCAAAGAATCTACAGCTAGTAGCTAGCCTGCGTAGCAATCGTTTCCGTGCAGTTTAGGAACTAAGAAAGAGGAACGAGTGTCAAAGACCGCGATAAAAATGGCGCGAGTTAAAGAGCGGGGAGGGGGTGGGGAAGAAAGGGAGGAACTTCCTATTTCCTTCCTTCCCCTCCCCCTTCCCCTCCTCCCTCTTTCATTTTTTGGCTCTCGTTCCGTTTCCCTTTCTCATTTTTCGATCCCCGAATCGACTGAGGGCAGAAGAAACGCCCATGATTTCTTTTACGAACTAAAGTTTGGATTCAGTTTTTTCCCTTTTAGAATAAACCTTCTTCACGGGCTTTAGGATGGACGGGATAAAAGGGATGTCACATGGTATTTCCGGGGGGGGGGCAAACTGATGAAAACATTTGCCAATACGAGTAATCGCAGTCGAGATTTTTTATTCTCTCAGATCGAGACCACAATTTTAGTCTCGCTGAGAATGCACAGTTCGAGGACCGACAAGTTTTTACGTCATTATCGCTTGCTATGAGGACGTGCACAGTCGCTGCTGTATCCAAAAATGGGAACAATGATCACTTTCAGCCACAATTTGCCATTATCGTCTCAACGATGACGTCGTTAATTTACTACAACAAACAAAATCCAAGCGTTTCTTTGAGATGATCGGGATCAGGATCAGTGATCCTACATCACTTGAACCATGGTAGATCAAATGAACCGATGAATCGTTGTCCGGATCACTGATTCTGATCCGGATCATCTCAAAGGAATGCACCCTAAGACTCTCGTTCCTTAAACCGCACTGGGATTAATAAATTTGAAGAAAAAAGAAAAAAACGAAATGAATTGTGGTAGCTGTGGTTCAATGACGTCACTGTGGAGATGCACTGTGTTGCAGTGCGTTACAAAGCGTTTTCATTCACGTGACTTGCATCTATGTAAATGTATTGCAACAAAAGAAAGCGTTTTCATTAGAAAAGAGTGCAAATCCCACCGGATTTTGTTTGGAACACCAACATTGTCGACGTTAATTGTTTTGGAACAATGGCCGCAGTGACGTTTTGTGAAAACGTTTCCTACTGTCTGTACTCGTTAGAGAAATTTACATAAAACAAGATTTGTTTTCACCAATTTTAAAATAATCTTCATATTCTGAATGTACAAAGAACTGATTTTTTTGTTACTACATTAGTTCTCACTCGGGTAATAGCTAGAAAAACCAGACGAGATCGCTTAAAGTCGCTTTAAAGGCGCTATGTGTTAATGCTAAAATGACTAAAGAGAATCAGAAAATGGAAAGTCCATGAGCCACTAGCAGAACACTTGACGGGGGGTCGCTCCTGACTCCCCACAAAAGATTTTTTTTTCGTTTTTGTTCGTCACGTGACGTTGGATGTTCTGTGTCGTCGTTTACGGGTACATTAATAGGGCCATTTATACGAGGAAAAATAAGACGCGTCTTAAATAAGACGCGAACTGTACCATTTATACGAGCATGTCTTATCTAATAAGACGCGTCTTAACTAAGCCGCGTCTTATTTTAGACGAAATGTGCCATTTATACGGAAAGTTCGCGTCTTATGTAAGACGCGTCTTATTTTTCCTCGTATAAATGGCCCTATTAGCATCATTGAAGCCGAGCAGTTCAGTAAGTTAGCATTTTTGGTTTTAGGCATTTTTTCCTTTCGTTTTTAGGTTTCAGAACAATTGTTATTGCAAACTTAAGTAGTTTTGCCTATAATTTTTCTTTATCAGAAAACCACCTACAGCTACGGGGTTGACGGTGTGCAAATCTTTGTTTGAGTAAGATTTTTGATGCTAGATATGTGGGTTTTCGACGTTCGAAAATATAGTTGCAAAAAAAAAAAAATGAGTTCATATGAGTCCGTCGTGATTCGTATCTACAGGGGGTTATCCTAATGCATCCATCATTTTCCAAGCGCTGCAGGAACAACCGTGGACTTCCCTACCGGCCAGAGGCAATCTACTAATATCAAGTGCTCTATATATTGTAACGCTTTCAAAATGCAGTGTGACATTCCTCATTCGCCAGAATTAAACAGGGTCTTTTTTATTATTTGCACGCACATTTTCGAGTTTTGTGATCACAAACAAAACAGTAACAAAACACCCATCCGAACCCAGGCAATATCTCAGGGTCCGATAACTGGTCCGGATCCGATTTTTCCGTAGTCTTATTACTCCTTTACGAAAATTTAAAATTTGCCTTTATTTTTCTGAAAGACCTTTGTCACGCGGCGGCCATTTTGTCCCAAGAGACTGAAAAAGCTTTGTGTTTGCACGGCTAGCCTTGTTCCCACCGCGGGGCTAACTGTGCAAAAAAAAACGCTCTTTTAATCTCCTAGGACAAAATGGCCTCCGCGTGACAAAGGTCTATTTCAGTCTCTCTTCGTTTCTCAGTTTTCTAACGCGAAATTACCCCAACGAAGGAACACGTGACGTCACAATTGATAACATGGGTTACGAAAGAAAAATCATCTCTGAACCGCTTACTTTCTTGAGCGACAAGGAAAGGGGGAGTTGTACGCGCTTCTCAGGACTAAAATGCAACGGTCTGCTCGCACGTGTATGTCTTTCAAAAATGCGACATGTTAAAGAGGTTCCAAAGCGCATACGCAGTAACAACACAGAGTTTAAAAAAAGTATACAATTAGACTTTAATAAGAATGAAAAACAAAAAAATGTTGTCGAATATTTACAGGAGGAAGCCGAGTCTGTTTGAAGCATGATTAATCGTTCTATGATGAATATGTCATCAAATAAAAGAAACGTTAAACGTTTGTACAAATTATTGGACCGATGGACATTCATACAAAAACTACAATAAGCAAACTTTTCATGGTAGTTGCAATATGGGCATGCGGTGACCATCGCAGCTTGTCGCGCGGAGGACAAAAGTAAAACTTTAGCTTTTTTACCAAAGACAATCCAAATGCCGCATATCATCAGCTCATCCACTTGGCGCAGGTTGTTTCCACCATGCTCTAAGATGGAAAAAAAAGACAGACCAAAGTTAATCGTATCATCGATCGAACCGTTTTTAAGTGGTCCTTTGTAACCACAGAGTGAGTTCGCGAGAGTTTGCGAGATA